CTGATTTCTGCCCAAACAGCCCCTATTGCGACTGGGCAATTCTGCGCACATCGCTGGTTGCGACCGAATTGTTCAGTCACTTTGACTGCAGCCGTGCGGCTGCATTGCTTGCCCACAGAAGAGGCTGCCTGTTACGTCTCTGCCTGTCAACCGTCCTGCGTTTGCCTCCCACTGAAGAGGCTTAAGGAGACTTGATACTGCAAACCCCCCCCCCACAGATGCTGTTTCATGCAACAACACACAAAAGCAGGAGGAAGGCAGGTAATTTCAAGGACAGGTGCGTGCTGTCGATATCTCTGACAGTGAGGCCTTCCCTAAACGTATCAGTGCAGAGCTACTGATTCTAACAGAATATTCTTTTCTCTAAAATACTCTCCGCACACTTTAAAAGGAGTTTCCCCAGTCCTATGCCCAGCATCTTATAATTTTTGCAAAAAGGGCAGCGCCTGATTAAGGCAAGCCGCTCCCTTGGCCCTGTGAAAGGTGCCGGTTTTGCATGAAAAAAGAGCGCCCGGGTGAGGTGCGGAGGGGGAGGCTGGTAAATCCTCCGCTCTGGAAGATGGTGGTGTGTGCCTCAGAAGGGGCGTGAGGGTGGGGGGCTGTCCCCGGCTCAGGGTTAATGAAGTGGGAAAAGAGTCTCTTTTGGAAGCACTGCAAACAAAGTCCCCCCCCCAGGCCCCCCGTGCAAAGAGGCCCTGGGCCCAAAGGCCTACATGGATTGACTTAAACCCAGGGGATAAGTGCTTTAAATTAATCTCATTGACTAAGAATGAGGCCAAACAAAACTCTTTTAAAATCATATTAAAAATCTATCAAAGGAACAACTTGCACTGGGTCTGCTTTTCATTCTGAGAAAGGGAGAGAGAAAAGGGGGGGGGGAAATAATCCAGCAACCGCCATCCTTTCATTTACACAGCCAGAAATGCAAATCAAAGACATTCTGTGCTATTTAATTGTTCGTGTACCTTCCACCCGATGCTATTGCGCACGTTAATGAATGACAAGCCTTTCGAACACGTTGCAAATTGCAAGATTGAAATTTGTCCTTGCTGATACACAGCTAGAAAGAACCTGGAGAGCTTGCACAGATAGGGGAAAGAGAGGTTTTGAATCACGTTAAATATATATTTTAGACACAGAAACAAAATATGAAAGGAAAAAAAGGGGCTGGGAGGTAGAAGCTACAGTTGGCGTTCCAGCGGAAGGGGAAAAAAACAATCAAGAAGCTGCCGGTAAGAAATATGTTCAAATGTGAAGTTCTGAAACGGAAATACTGAATTTAGCACTAAGATCTGTGTAAGACTCAAAGGGATGATTGCAAATAATCTATGCCAGAGATTCCTAAACTGGTGAGTCACCCTCATGGAAATAGCCTGTTGTGTCTCTGCATGATTCATTGATCTGACATCCTCTCTTCCAACTGCTTTCCTCTGTGGATGCTGGGTAATCCCTAAAGAGTGCAGCAACATCCATCATTCGATCATTCAATCACCTCCTCATGGCACTGGTATTTCTGGCCACTGTGTGATACAGAGTGTTGGACTGGATGGGTCTTTGGCCTGATCCAACATTGGCGTCTCTTATGTTCTTATGTTCTTATCATTCCCGATACGCAAATACACAATTACTTTTTCCTGTGAGGAGGCTGACTGTCGTGTTCTGCATGAGTTAGTGCTCTGTACAGGAGGCGGAGCTCCCTGGACAGCAGGCAATTCTTGAAAGGGTTTAGCATTTGTCAGCTGGGTTCAAGTCAACCCACGGAGGCCTTGGAACCTAAGACCCCATTGCATGAGGAACGGCAGGGCAGACTTTGTAATGTTTCTAAGATAGCCACCTTTCTCTCTCAGTTTATTTTATTAAAAGTAAACTGTTTTGGTTATAAAGAGGCTTCCACCTTTAATTCCAAACTAACTAGCAAAATTAACCAGCAAAGACTAGTCCAAACCAGGGGTCATTTCCTGCAGGAGCGCACAGGACCGGAGCTCCGGCAGTAAAGCGCCCAGGGGGGCGGGCACATGCAACAAGCCCCACCCCCTGCTCCCAGTAGCCCTCAGTCAGAGCAAGAAGCAGCCAGGTAAGTTGCAGAGCTCCCCCCGCCGCCTCCCCCCGGTCCAAAACAGTCCAGTGGCACCTTTAAGACCAAGTTTTATTCAGGTACAAGCTCTCCCTCCTCTGCAAGGACAGATCTGCACATTCCCCCCCCCCAACAGTTAGCAATCCAAAACAGTCCAGTGGAGCCTGAGCGGTGGGTGTTGCCTTCTGACACACTTCCAGTGATGTCAGGGGGTGTGGCATATGCAAATGAGTTGTGCTAATGAGTTATGCTAATGAGCTCCTACACCTCTTTTTCTACGAAATGACCCCTGGTCCAAACCAAAGCGTGGCTCAGGTGCCACCCGTGGCTCTCTCCAGTAGCAAATGCGCAGCGTGTGGGCCAACTTTTGAAGGGCTGTGGTTAACTTCTCCCACCCTCTGATGGACCACATGGTCACTGTACCATTCACTCTAAAATCCTGTCGTATTAAGGACCAGTGTTCTGAATCAATGAGAATGGATAAATACTACTTGGCCACAGGAGAGGAAGTACGCTCTTAATGTCTATCATAAGGTTAAATGCTAGCAAAACAAGATGCCCGGCTCTTGAACTTCTGGCAGTGATCCTTTGCAGCTCAGAGGTCTGTATGTTGTCAAAGGCTTGCAGATTTCCCGGGCTGTGTGGCCGTGGTCTTGGCATTGTAGTCCCTGCCGTTTTGCCAGCAGCTGTGACTGGCATCCTCAGAGGTATAACAGAGGTATAGCTCAGAGATCAGTCCGTATGCTGGCCCCTGGGCTAGTCTACCCAGAGGGACAGTGCTGACCCAAGATCCCAAGGGGAGGCTTAGCTTGGTCTGCTGCCCTGGACCACCTTGACTTTGAACCTGACTTCCCGCACCTGTATGAGACTTATTTGTGGGACTGAGCCAAGTGTGCTGGACCCAACCAGAAGTTCACCTAGTCTAGCAGGGGTTAGCGACATCTGCCAGAGCTCACAAGCAGGGCAGGAACGGGAAGGGCCTTTGTCTCTGTCAATGACACGGAGTGCCCCTGAACAGGGAGGTTTCCATTATACTCCTAGTGTGTGCCTGGAGACTACCACCACCTTCCCCTTCAGACTAGGCTTCCATTTTTGCTTTCTTAAAAATGCAATTTTAAGACACAGGGACAGCTTTAAAGCCCCCGGAAACTTCCGGAGTACTGCAGCAGCTACAATGTTCAGTTGGGTTATAGGAGTCACAGGCACAAAACTCCCAGAGAGTCCGGATGCTCCCTGGAGGTCCTCTAACGAGCCGCTGACGAGGTACAAGTTGAGTCTCACTTCACTCTCAGCCTCACCCCTCTGCCATCTCACAACCGCACTGACCTCCCTTACAGGACTGTTGTAAGGGTTGCATGGTAATGTAAGTCAAGAGCTCGAAAGCAAAATACGTGCTATTATTAGACGACAATATTATACAATTTTGTTAAAAAATAAGGTGCATTAGAATTTGAGAAACTGCTGATTGAGGACATTAATGTGACCCCTTAGATATGTATGAAGATCCACAGATTGTCTGCTCACCATTAAGCTGTTGAGTATACCAAGCTCTCTCCCATACACAGGATTTCCCAGACTTGTAGCTGAAGGACCCTGCTAACTGATGTTTACCAAGCAATTCTGTATTATGGACAGATAAAATGTACGCTTCCCTTTGATTTCATGCTTTTAGAGAGACTTTCGTATATTTTTATTTTCAAATCCGCAATTGAACATAGTTACAACAATGGAATAATCTGTGTATCAACTTGTCTGAATTCTCAGCGTTCATTTTAAAAAGCCTCTAGCTCCTTTTTCCTTTTATCTCTGCAACAAAAAGCGCTGAAGACTTACTTGGGGGGGGGGATCGTGGAGAACTCAATACACAGACTGTTACAGCACTATAACAATGTTCGACAGCTGATTTAAAAAAAAGAAAAGAAACAAAACTCTCCCCCAGGACAAGCCGTGGAGACAGGGGCAGGGAGAATGGGTGCTGGGCGGCCAGGACTGGGAAAATCCCATCCAGGCTTTGCTGTGAGCTCCCCCAAAACTTCAGATGAGAAGAGAAGAGATTGGATTTATACCCTGCCCTTTACTACCCAAAGGAGTCTCAGAGCAGCTTACTATCTCCTCCCCCTCCCCCTCCCCACAACAGACACCCTGTGAGGTAGCTGGGGCTGAGAGAGCTCGCTCGAGAACTGCTCTCTCTCGAACAGCTCTGAGAGAACTTGTGACTGACCCAAGGTCACACCAGCTGGCTGCACGTGGAGGAGTGGGGAATCAAACCTGGTTCTCCCAGATTAGAGTCCGCCCTCCTAACCACTACGCCAAACTGGCTCAGAGCAAAACAGGTTTGGGAAAGACTGGAGAAAAGACAAAGGGGCCCCAGGTGCCCTAATGTACCATGTTGCTGTGGGGAAGCAGGAAAAAAGAAACCTGCTTTCTGACAGCATCAAACCCAGTGCAAATAACCTGGGTGCCAAAAGTCTGCGTTTCTGCAGCTTGTCACTAAATGATGTGAGGATCTGAGGAGATGCACCAAGGGAAAGCAGGCTTGTCATGAGGGAAAGACTGTTTGCACTGCAGTCTCTTGCCCCTCCCAGGAACCTTGGAGGGCGGTGTCCTTTCCTCCTTGGCAAAGAAAGGTGCTTGCAGCACCAATGTTCAACTGTGTCTGTCCACAGGATCCTCTGTCCACAGAGCCAGTTTGGTGTAGTGGTTAAGTGTGCGGACTCTAATCTGGGAGAACCGGGTTTGATTCCCCCACTCCTCCACTTGCAGCTGCTGGATGACCTTGGGCAAGCCATCGTTCTCTCAGAGCTGCTCTCTCAAGAGCAGTGCTCAAAAGAGCTCTCTCAGCCCCACCTACCTCGCAGGGTGTCTGTTGTGGGGAGGGGAAGGGAAAGGGATTGTAAACCGCTCTGAGACTCAGAGTGAAGGGCGGGGTAATAAATCCAATCTCCTCCTCTTCCAAACTGGAGGTTTCAACCCCAGCAAGTATTCCAGGCCATGCAAAGGGGGAGGGGGGCTGACCCTGTCACCGAAGAGCCTACAGACCAACCTAAGGTCTGAACTAAGGAGTATCGAAGCAGTCCAGAGCCGTGCTGGCAAGCAGTCGGGTTTCTTTGGGCTCTCCTGTCCAAGAGCTCACTCAGACCAGCCTGATGGCCAGTTTAGATTTTAGGGGCTGCAGATTCTGCCACTGACTCCCCCCCTCCCCCACCGCCCCCTTGCACTCTGTTGTTCTCACAAGCAACCAGTCTGAATTGAGGACTGCAAGACAAGCAGATGCCTTGGGGGAAATGCACCTTTAATTGCTGCAGAGTCCCTTCGAGGGCGGAGGCGGCGGCGTTGGAATGCAGCCAGTTCCTTTGCTCAGCCTTTGGGGGGGAGGGACATCTTCCCATCCTCCTCTGTTGCCCTCCCAGAGGGCATTCTGCTGCTCCCCGTCCCCAGCGATTCTCTCGAGGGTCTGTTTCCGCAGACGAGGTGACGAATGGCCAGCTCAGGGCTGGGGCTCTGGACTCCCAGGTCTCCTCGGTCCTTTCTTCCTCTTGGCCCGGGATGTGCTGGAGCCCAACCCACTCGAGTATTCAGACTGCAGCATTTCGGCCAGACGGCGGTTGCCCCAAGTCTTCCTGAGAAGGTCAGGCCTGGGAAAGGAGAGAGACGGGGAGTGAGGCAGGAGGGGGGAGTAAAGGACTTGGGGTTGTTTTTTTTACAATTTTGGTTTTCATGGGCACGTCGTCGGGGTTCTTAAGGCTGCAGTTCTTAACTCTGACATAAGTCCCACTCGGGTCAAGGCGATTTAAGATTCAGGTCTCACCAACAGCTTCTGAACGGCAGGCAGCAGTCCACGTGACAGACTGCCCCGACGTAAAACCCAAAAGTCAAAAAATGCACCTGATCTCATCAGTTCTTGGAAGCTAAGCAGGGTTGACCTGGGTAAGTACTTGGGTGGGAGACTACCAAGGAAGTCTGGGGTTGCTATGCAGAGGCAGGCCACGGCAGAAACCACCTGCGTTCATCTCTCACCCTGAAAACTCTACAGGGCCACCATAAGTCAGCTGTGACTTGATGGCGCTTCCCCCACCCCCACCCAGAAAGCTTGCACGCGGGGGGGGGGGGAGACTAAGCTGGAGGTCTTCATAGAGGCTGCGGTCACGCACACTAAACAATCCATGTTCAGTGCATTTTCCAACTGGATTTTGCCAGTCAACACAGTAAAATCCAGTTTGAAAGTGCACTGAACGTGGATTGAGGCACTCCCTTCCGCTGTACTGCAAGGCAAATTCACTCGCGTTCCAATGCATGAACGTCGATGCCCATGCATGGCTAATATGGTAGAATCAGTTACTCATGTCCTCCTGTTCTGCAGATTCTATCCGGAGGAACGAGACCATCTTATACTACCCTTTCTGTCTAGATTTAGCCCTTTGCAGTCTTAGCTTGACTTTAGGCCAGAAGTCCTTCCGCCAAATGAGAAGGGAGCACTCCCTGGAGAAGACCCTGATGCTGGGAAAGATTGAAGGTCAAAGAAGACGGGGACAGCAAAGGATGAGATGGTTAGACAGTGTCACAGATGCAACGAACATGAAATTGAGCCAACTTCAGAGGACGGGGGAAGACGGGAGGGCCTGGCGTGATCTGGTCCATGGGGTCGCAAAGAGTCGGACTCGACTGTGCGACTGAACAACAACAACCTTCGTAAATTCCTCTTAGAAGACGTTCAGAGCTCAGTGACTTACACTGTGGCAAAATTTTGTTGCTTAGCTATTAGGGAATGCAAACTTAGTTTTAGCTGAAAAAATTGTATGATTCTCTTATTAATATTATTTTATTTTACTAGTTTTATTAATTTTCTCTTGTTAGTGTTTTTATACTATTCCTATGTTATTACTGTTTTAATTTTTCTTATATCAGAGTTGTACTGTTTTACTGGCTCTTGCTGTAATAAATTAGATCAAAGATCAAAAGACTGAAAGCGGATTATTCTGTGTGTGTGACGGCAGCCTGAGACATATAACTTTTTGTGAAGGGACTATTTGTGCATGGAGCAGCGCTCAACTGAGTGAGCCCCCACTGACAGCCAGTGTTTCCTCTTAGCTGAGTTAGTGTGAGCTAGCTCACAGTTTTTTAGCCTCCGGCTCACACATTTTTGTCTTGGCTCAGGAAGGCCGGCTCCAGAGCAAACTAATTTATGGGTCTGAATGTGTGTCACTCCATCAAGGTGTTAGAATTTTCACCTTGATGGAGTGACACACATTCAGACCTACAAAATCGCTGTTACAAGAATAAGTTGTGGAGGTGATACGGCTATACCTATGGCCCATCACTAATACCAGGAGGCCAATTATAAGTATACAAGGAAACAACATCTGGTTAAATTATATGTGTACTAAAACTCTGTTACAGGTCTTTGAATGTGTGTCTAGAATATATAGAAAATAGTGACCACGGAGGAAGGCCCTTAGGGGCCGAAACGCGTTTGGTCTTCAGTTGTAAAGTATTTACCCATCATATGTATGTATAGAAGATAAGCTTTTATAGTCTGATCTTAGACACAGCAATGTTTAATCAGGAAAATTTTAACACCTTAATAAATATTTGTACTTTTATATATATGGTTTAGCTTAGCCCTTTTTGGTAGTCATATCCTGGGTTGAGTCCCCCCCCCTTTTCTCAGATTTTGTCAGGAAGGATGGCTCCAGAGCAAACTAAATTACACAGTAGCCAAATCGCTCTGTCACAGCTTTAATGCCAGTAGCTCACAAAGTAGAATTTTTGCTCACAAGACTCCGCAGCTGAGAGGGAGCATTGCTGACAGCATGAAGACCACCTGGGGAAGCAGCAAACCTCTGAATCCCAGAGCCAGGAGGCAGCATCAGCGGAAGGCCTCGGCCATCTATGTCCTGTAGTTGGCCCTTGGGAGTGACTGGGCGGCCACTGTGTGGAAAAGAACGCTGGACCAGATGAGCCGTGGGTCCGATCCAACGAGACTTATGCTCTTCTGAAGTGACAGAGCCCAGAAACAGGTCTAACATTTAACCTGTTGCTCATGAAAACCTGATTTGATTGATTGAGCTCAAATCAGTCAATCCTAAAAGAAATCAACCCTGACTGTTCCCTGGAAGGCCAGATAATGACACTGAAGCTCAAATACTTTGGCCACCAAATGAGAAGGGAGCACTCCCTGGAGAAGACCCTGATGCTGGGAAAGATTGAAGGTCAAAGAAGACGGGGATGGCAAAGGATGAGATGGTTAGACAGTGTCATAGATGCAACGAACATGAAATTGAGCAAACTTCAGAGGACAGCGGAAGACAGGAAGGCCTGGCGTGATCTGGTCCATGGGGTCGCGAAGAGTTGGACTCGACTGTGCGACTGAACAACAACAACATGAAAACCTGTCCTTACTTTTCAGGAAATGTGTTCAGAAGCAGGCGGAAGGCAGCTTCCAAAGCAGAGGCGGAGTCCAACCCAGGTCCTGATTCACAGCTTTTTCCAAAATGATGAAGAGCTTATATGACACATGACCTTCCCTAGGCTAAAACAGTCGGACAATGAAGAAGGTTGGCAGGAAGAACGTTGATTCATTTGAATCGTGGCCTTGGGGGAGAGTTTTACAGATACTGTAGACCACCAAAAAGACAAACTAGTGGGCTCTAGATCGAGCCTGAACGCTCTCTAGAAGCCAAAATCACTAAACTGAGCCTATTGTCCTTTGGTCACATTATGAGAAGACTCATTGGAAACGATAATAATGCTAGGAAGCATCGGAGGCAGCAGGAAAAGAGGAAGACCCAACATGAGGTGGACTGACTCACGCAGGGAAGCCACAGCAAGACCTGAGCAAGGTTGTTAACAACAGGACTCGTGGGCACTCCATGAAATTGCAGAGCGGTCGGGTTAGAACGGATAAAACGAAGGACTTCTTCACCCAAAGAGTGATGAACACACGGAATCCACTGCCACAGGAGGTGGCGGCGGCTACAAGCATGGACGGCTTCAAAAGGGAATTAGATAAGCATATGGAGCAGAGGTCCATCAGTGGCTATTAGCCACAAGGTATGGATAGGAAGTCTCAGGCTGGGGCAAATGATGCTCTGTATTCTTGGTGCTCGGGGGGGGGGGCAACAGTGGGAGGGCTTCTAGTGTCCTGGCCCCACTGCTGGACCTCCTGATGGCACCTGGTATTTTTGGCCACTGTGTGACAGAGTGTTGGATGGGCCTGATCCAACATTGACTTCTCTTATGTTCTTATGACACTTTGGAGGTTATTGAGTCACAGGTCAGAAGGGACCTGACGGCACATAACACAACATGCTAAAAACATCTGAAATTTAGGAGAGGGGGGGGGGGGGGGGGGGGGGGGGATGACAAAAGAGGGACATAAATGCAGGTTTATAAAATTAGGAATGGGAGTCGGAGGGAGCGGAGAGAGGACCTTTCTCTCCTTCTCATATCAGGACTTGAGATGGATCAATGAAATTGATTGCCAAGAGGTACGACAAGCAGCAAATTGCAAGTGCTTCTTCCTCAAATGCATGACTTATTTATGGAATTTGCTGCCACAAGATGTGCTGATGGCCAGCAACTTAGATCGATTTCGAAATTGAACATGGAGGACTAACAACGGCTGTCAGCTACGTGGGATATCTGTGTTCGAAGCAGGGGTCATTTCGTAGAAAAAGAGCTAGGGGAACTCATTAGCATAGCTCATTAGCATATGCCACACCCCCTGACATCACCGGAAGTGTGTCATAAGGCCACACCCCCTGACATCACCGGAAGTGTGTCATAAGGCCACAC